TTTATTTACTAATCAAATAGTACAAAAGAACTATAAACGAACTGTACTAGTCATCAAATTTTTGTTTATGTTTCACAAATAGCTGCTAAATGCCGAGCAGATCCAGGTTACAATCGTTCATCTGCGTAACTGTTTGTTCTCTGAACAGGATACAATTTTTGGACTCCGTTCGACAAATTTTGTGTTCTGTGAATCACAGTTTTTCCATTATTATTAGCATCATTAATACAAAAGAGTGCGACAATAAAATTTTAGTTAGGGACGTCCTGCAGAATTTGATTTGAATGTAAGTCTTAAGATTATGGCAGTGAACTAGAGCTGACAGATTTCTCATGAAACAATCAAGAGTCAATCTATCATATTTACAATTTGTTCTACTCTACGGACCCATCACGCACGGACCTTGAAGAGCACAGTAATTTGGCTAAAGACCTATTTAGATCGGAAATAGTTTGGTGCAATTTATTTTGGTTAAGTAGGTATATAGCAATTTATTGAAATTATCTACATATCATGTTTGCTGTTTCAGTTTTCTAATTTATTTTTTACTGCATTACTCCGTTGTTTTCAAGAGTAAATCGCTTAACAAAAGCGTATTTTAAGTCACGGTATGATGTATTAAATGTAGAGTCATCGTTATCCTTTTTTTCTTCATATGTTGTACGTGTTTCATGTCAGACCGGAAATCGACGAAACTCGTGACTAAAAAGAACTAAAAGTGAAAACTTCGAATACCTACAGCCTTTTGTCTAACAGTTTTGAAAATACTTCTAAGCTGGTGATCTGAAATCTTTGCTTTACCTCTTACCCTGCGTAACAGTTTAAAGGCGATTATAAAAGCAAGACATTGTTCTACACTTGTTCAAGAAATAATCGGCTCTGACAAAGTTATTGTTGGCACATATCCGTTTTTAGTTATTCAGAAACTTGCTATTATATTGGAAAAATCTGCAGGAAGCACACATACCTCGTGAGATGACCATCTAAACATTTTAGGAATGTGCACGGTAATGGGATTTCTGTCGAAAGAGTACAGCTGCAGTATATTACAAAACCGACGTTTTTCCCTGCGACCTATGACTTGAAGGTAGTCGGTACGCTGAAACCGACACGAAGTAGCACCAGTCGGTCCTCCACAAGAATCCGCGGTAAATGATGACTTGTGGTGGTCACGGAAAAACTAACCACTGCTTTAGTTTACAGCATTTCTTAAATGCGTTTATTGACTTTGGAGAAAAAACGATTAAATTGCGTTTGAAGAATTCCGTTTCAAATATTTTCCTAAAATTTACGACTAACTTTTGATCATTCCTTTTTCAAGACGAGGTAACGTAAAATAAAGAATTAGTTGTTTGGTTAATCCCGTAAGCTTCATTAATTCTCCCGGAGCTTCTCTCAATCGCTTCAGCACGACAAAACAAAGCCATAACGAGTTTAAAGTAACACGATTATGGATAAAAAATAATCGTCGAGGCTTTGGAGGTGACTTTGAGCAGGTTTCCGACGATTAGCTTACGACTTGTTTTTGAGAAATTATAGGGTACGTTAATTTAAGGTAATCGTATTCATGGACAAGAATACGGAGGGCGACAGAAATGATTACCGAACGTTAACGAATAAATTAATAAAGTTTATCTAGAAATGGTCTCGTCCTTTAATGCGTTCCCCTCGTGTTATGATAGATCAGCCTTGAATTGGACGAATTTTACAATACACCATTAACTGAATCAGAGGAAGTTTGAGTGATTTGTTTTTACCTAGAAATAGTTGGCAGAATATTTCTGTCAAAGTAACAACTACGTATTAGGTAAAAAAAGACAGATGAATATAAAAACATACAGTAATTATTATGCGTTAGTCATACACTGACATAATTATGCGTTCAAGAAGTACTTTTTATTAAATAATAGCAAAACCGGTTAGTAAATAGTAACAGATGGAGATGTTGTTTTCACTTTATAAGGTGCTGTAACAACGCATTCTTTCTTATTAATGAATAATGACACTTCAAATGAAACGTTCTCTTTTTGATAACTAATGTGGATAGGACTAATGTACTTATAAGACTTGGATATCCACTGTTTTTAAATTAATCGAGAATAAATCTTCCATAATGCTTCATATTATTTGTTTACTTGAGTTAACTCAAAACAATGCATGTTCAACCGGTCGACAGGTCTGACAAATTTCTGTGGAATTGTTGTAATTCTTTAACGCTGACTACGAGATTTTTTTTATGTGTTGTAAGTTTATAGCGTTATAACAGAACTGAAAGGGTCTTTTGTTATTTATACTAGTAAGTTTTAAATTTTATTTACTTAGGTAATTTGATGTTTGTAAAATTTACTTTCGTATAATTAAATGTTTTGCTTAATTAGTAACTCTATTAAGAATTCGTCACACACAAATGTTCGTTTTGTGTCGCAATATGTGAAATTTTGGACTTTTTCGATTTAGCTTCAAGCTCTACGTAGCTCCATATTGTAATAAATATCTTATTATTTAAGCATTTAAACACAATTATTTTGCCCAACTTGCGGTTGGTTCTTAGTATGTGGGTAAATTAACTTGAGTGGGTTGAAATAATGTTAATGAGTTTGTGATAAAAACCAGTTGCTATTACCTGCATAGTTTGATAAGATTTTGTAGGCATTAACTTTGCGCAACGAACGCTATTATTTGTTTTCTTCAATAATAACAAGATTTTGACGGGCATATTCATCATTCGTATAAATATTTGAGCAATTATTAGACAAAAGTAGAACTTTAACGCAAAATACTTCCTTCCTAAAAAGGAAGCATATTTTAAAATGTATTTTCAGAAGTATTATAACAATCAGACGTCGGGCAATACGAGAAATTGTCGTAAGTCTAAAATGACAGATTTCAAAATCATCCAGGAAACGACAAAACAAAAAAAAATGTATCTTGTGTCTATTTTCAACTAATAGCAATGTCAATAAAAATGTATGTTTGCAACTATGAAAATAACAGGGAGAATATGAATTCCAGAAATCATTATGTCTAATCACGTTTGTGATTATCGAGAACTACATAAGTATATAAACTGTGATATATTGAGACAAAAATTTCAAAATACTTGAAGCTGTCCATAACTGAAAATAATGTCAAATTTACCGTAAATGTTGGTGTATTTCAATTTTGGCTTCTACTATCTCAAATATAGATGTAGTGCCAAATATTTCAGTTGAAAATCTAAAATTTTAAACTTAACATAACACTGATTTGCAACTACAATCAAATATTCTGACCCACTGAGTTCAAATCTATATTGATATTTTGTCAAAAGTGCCGGATAGATCAACTTTTATGTTTAATAATTTAGCAACAAAATTAAGCCTATAAAAATCAATTAAAACCAAGGCAGCGATAGAGCCATTTTTGTTTCAGGTGAGTGTTTTAATAAAAAAAATATATAACAAATTTTATTATAATTAGAGCACAAAAATGGTTGCAATCTGCAGTTTTTCTTTTTTTTTTTCTTCGTTAATTATATGCAATACTAACAAAACTGTGCCACTGTAAATGTACTTTAAAATTATCATCATGATACTAAAACGTTAACTAAAACATGTTTATTTATCTTCTCTAACAAAGTGACGTTATTTCATTGTTAAATAAATCTTATTCGAAATGTGCAGCGTGATTACTCCTCTTAAACAAGTTTAACAAGTTATTTAAAAAATTGTAGACTATTGCGAGACTATTTCATAAGTAGGATAAATTAATTTGTATTATTAGAGAACATCAACTAAAATTATTTTAATAACTGCCTTCAGCAAGTTGATGATGTCATATCAAAAAAAGTAAATTAGAAATGTTTTATTAAATAAATGTCTATTGACATCATCGGTAATCATTTCTTTTTACAATTGTTTACCTGTCTTAAAATACATGCACGAAAAATTATATTATAGATTAATTAAAAAAACAAATTTTCTTAAATTCGACAAACATAATAATTACGGTACAATTAGTGTTTCGTGGTACAACTATATCAATCTATACTTGATAAATTTTAGAAAACAATTACGTTATAATTAGTGCTTCGTGGTATAATTATATTAATGTAGGTATATTAAACAAATCTTTAAAATGTAGATATTTTTGTGGTTTAGTGGTGAAGAAATTAATAGGTAAATAATTTAGTGATTACTTTAATATCAGCAGTAGTGTGAGGCAATTTTAATGACACATACATTTTTCATAAATATTAAACAGGTATTCAAAGACCTCAAAACCTGAAAATTTATAAAAAATATACTTGTTTCAGAGAATCTTCCGAAATAGATTAGACCAGCAACACGCTTTTACTCTATCATAAAACCTTATTTTAAATTTAATCACTCACGACTTCTTCCCACATAAAATATAAGATATAGTCTATATATGGATGGCCATGTGATTTCTTAGGTCGTCACGTCACGGTGGTATACTGACGTCGTCAACAAAAGAGATGACATCATTATTTAGATGATGATAATGTTGATGATGGACGTGCCCACAATGAACGGCCACAATTCAAAGAAGTAAAATTCGCAGGTTCCTCTGTATCAGTGTTTATAAATAGAATAATTGTTTATGCGTAATCTGCAGAGGAAACCAAAGGGCAGTAAAGGTCCCCCCTGTTACTCATCCAGTTCAACTTAAAATTTCACACCTCGTTCACTTTGTTAACCACGGTAATTTGTCCATACAATCAATAAAATTTCCCTGTAAAAAAATTGAACTTCTCGAACCCGAGAACAAATTCCAGATATTGAGTCAATAATAACCACCGGTTCCGACAGACCTAAACGCGTGGGAGGAGAAATTATTACACCATAGTTCCGAAATAAACAATTCTGCAGAACTCTGCATTAATCACAGTTCATAATGAAACCTCATCTAATTATATCCCCGTCGAATTCGATTTTTAAAGATGGCGCCGTTTTTCAGCAGAGGGGGAAATCACACACGTCAAACGCATGTCATCTTCGCGGCTTTTATATTTGGTGCGTTCAAATTGCTTTTCACCATAAGCTGAAGCCGCTTTCGATGCGCATAGTGTTTGTACGTTCTCGCGCTTCTTCTACTTAGCAACTTTTATACTTCGAATTTTTGTAATCAGTATCGCCAAGATGAAAGTGACATGGGCTTTAATTTTCTCCTTGAGCTACTTTGCCGCCGTTTATGCTCATCCTGGTAAGTTTCATTCACGTTATTATTTTGTTGTATTATGGCATAAAATCAAGGACGCCGCAATGTACTCAATCGGAAACTAATTAAGTAGCTCGCTATAAATAAAACACGTTTAAATGATATACCTTTGTAGTTCTAGAAAATTCGATTCGTGTTTTTTTATTTTGCAAGCTACATCTATTAAATCGAAGGTGTAATGATTCTTGATTTTTTGTCATTTGCAAAGCATCAATATTCGTGGAATCCAGCGGCCTTAATAATGTTGTTCCTGACCTGTTGGATTTACAATTATAATAAAAACTGTCCGTGTTGTTTATAATTTAATGACATTGCTACTGGTGTTAGTGTTATTTATTACAAATGATCTCAAGGTTTGAACGACACTCAAGAAAGTAAACAAAAAATGCAAAAATTCTGTTACTTGTAATCAAAATTTTGTAGTCGGTTAATGATAATGAACGGTTATTTAAGCCCCTATTTAATAAAATTGAAAGCGGCAGGAAACTGTAAAATAATGGTGGTTATTGTTAAAGTCTCATTAAAAGATAATAGTTATGCAGGTACGCAATTTAGAAACGTGTTCAAAATGATGGAAATGGCTAGAATGTTCTACCCAACAAGTCACTTCAAGGTTTGCCATTTAAACTTTGATATCATTTTAATATCGTTTGCACATAACAACTGTGTAATAAGTGTTTGACGTACACAGTATTAGAAAAATATTATAAGAAAAATCAGGTGTACTGTTATGCAAAAGTTCCATGTTTAACAGTGTTTACTAAAATACAGAGAAAAAAGTACACTATTTACAAAAATTGACTCAACATTTAAAATACAAAATGACTGTAACGCAATTTTTAAAGACAACAAGAAATTTTCTTAATTTCCTGGAACGAAATTTTGATTTTTTTTTCAACGATTAATTCAAATTTAACAACCATAATAAAGTTTCTGATATTTGGTTGTAAATGTTGGTAATAGTTTAATAAATCTATTTTTAAACTACAGAATATAGAGGTTTTTTAATTTTTTTATTATAATAGGAGTATTTTCTATAGCGTTCAGTGGGAAGTGAGTATGGTTGTGCCGAATAATATATGCAGAATATACGGATTCAGGATTCAGATATTGAAATTCTGTGAACGTCATTGTTTTCGCCTTTTAAAGGGGAATGCTTAATTTGCAAGCTTATTATTTATGATTGTGAAAAAAATGTAACATACCCAGTGCTAAGTTTTCGAGTTGTGATTCGTGTAATTAAATCAAAATTTTCTCATCAGTTGACTAATAACAATTAATGTACAATATGCATCCTCTTTATTTTTTGATGTAAGTTTTTTCGTTGCTACGTAGGATGTTAGTTAGTATATAAATTTCATAAATGTCTCTTTCATCCAGTGACCTGTGTGTTTCAGATTTGCCACTTCTTAGTAGTGTTAGACATTTTAAAAATTTTATTTAAAATGATTCGTATCCATCTGTCAAAATAACTATAACATTTGAATGTTCGTTGTCATTATAACAAGTGACTATAATGAATCTTGTCTCTCAATTCCGATCACCCGTTAGTTACACAATCCGAAAGAGGCGAAATAAACCAATGCCTATGCGTGTATTATTTTTTTTTTCACAATAGAAACATTTCATAATAGAACAAATCACCTTACGATATAAAAAAGGAAATAACATAATAAACTTTAAAAGTAGATATAATATTACACGATAACAACAAAAACAACTACTGTACGTCGTTACAACGAAAAAGATCATTCAAAAAAGGATTGATTATTCTTGATGGTGCAAGTTAAATATCGGACTCATTATAATTACACTTTTAGCAAAGATGATTTTCTGAAATTCAAATTACCAATCACGCAAAAATTGGAGTCAGCAGTGGATATAGAAATATATTTCTTGAGTGTCCATTGCAAGACAAAAAATACTGATGAAGGAAAAAATGTTATTGTAAAAAAATATCGAAAAGAGATAATCGACCAATATTTTTTTACAACACTATCGGACAATTGCAAATAGCATTTATAGTGGGTTATTTCAATTAATCATCAATATTTTGTAAACTGAATCACTGGAATGTCTAAATAACGAATAAAAAATGCGTATGTGTAGATAAATCTGTTTATCAACAGTATGTAATAATAAATACTATATTATGATATTGATAATATCTTACTTAACCTACTTTTCAGTCAGTTCTTGGTTAAATTAAACTTAAAATATGCTAACCTTCCAACGAATGCTCGAAGCATATCTTTCCATATGACCTTTGTATCCTTGTACATTTTTCTAAATTTTCGTTGATTTTTTAATTTAACTCAGTTAAGTCATTTCAAACTAAAAAAAATCACTACCGAGAATACTTATTCTGTCATGTTTGAAACCATTCTTCCTGCAAAATTAGGTTCCATATCTTCGCACAAACGGACGATATTATCGCAGTTGTTCTAATAAAATAAATGATAAAGTTTTAATCTAGTTAAGCACTTGGTCAGCTTACATTTAAGCACAGAGAAATCAGCAGAAACCTACAGGATAAACAACCACAATCGTTCCTGTGCAAGATATTTCTAACAAAAGGTTTTAATTATAGATTTGAAACGTCAGTCGTCAATTTCAGCAAATCTCACCCGTCCATTGATAGCTGTTTCTGCTTTATTCAGCATTTTCAACGGTTGATCAAGTCATGTTCATAACAATGCAGAGTTCAATAAACTGCATTGCTTTTATGAAAACTGACCTACAACGCCCATAACGCGAAATGAATCTCTTGCTTCAACCTCCTAACCTTAAATGGGTGTTTTTCATTACACAATATCTGCTGCAGTCATGTGGCTTACAATAGTCACGCGAATTAAACAAAAAGATTTGCAAAGTAACAACTGTTACAGATCGACACACATTGCGTGTACCGGTAAAACAAGCTCCAAGCATTGGGTAAATCCATACTTTCTTTGACCGTGCTTATAGAAATTTCAGGAACGTCTTAGAAGCGTTTATTTCTTGGAATGTTTCTCGACATTGAACTTTACGATATATTATCATTTAAAAATAGCTTGAATCGCGGTTTGCATATTTCCTGGGATTGGAATATTTCGATACCGAAACGTCCTTGCACGGTCACAAATTACTGATTCGCGTCCTATACACAGATGCGGATATTACTAAAATCGTGCAACTGATGACTAATATTTTTTGTTGTTTACTCATCTGCAATACTTGATCAGCCTTGAACAAGTTTCTATTTAATTTATAATCGTTGCAGCACGGAGGGAAGCGTCGGAGGAAGTAGAATTCGTCCCACTTGAAGACCAAACAGGTAGGCCTATTGTGGACACCGGCGTGATTGGCGGAGGACCATGGTACAGTCCATTCGACGATGTATTTGGAAGCTTCGCAGGTAAGCATAGAAAATTGTTAATTTAGAATCGGAAGGACTTGTGTAGGCTTTTCTTATTAATTAACTCCTACGAGGAAATTATTTTCTCTTTATATAAGTATAAAACGATGTTCACTCAATAGTCAAGAAACGCGAATTATGTCACGATGCAGTTGCTTCACGGGTGCACGCTTTTGCCTCAATACACATGATTATTTTATTTATTTGTTTGTTTTTCTAGCAATGATGGCCCGAATGAGGCAACAAATGGACTACCTTTTGCGACATTTGCCATTCAGAAATGGTACCATTGACAATAACGGACCATTCCCAGCATTTCCTGGTATTTCTGATATCGATTTGAGCAAAGGAAATACCACCTCAGTTACAAAGGTAGGTACGAAGCGTACTATGTTACGCAATATCAGGTAATTGTGCCTCGTCAAGTCCAGCAACTAAATGCGTATTCTTTTTCCAGGTGATTGATGGACACAAAGTTGTCATAAATGAAACTTCGTACAACCAAGAAGGTGAAAATGGCGGATCTTTCTTCAAAGTGCGCATTATTGACGTCCAACCGGATAGCAGCGAGCTGACCACGGAGAAAAACGCCGAAAGCATCACCACTCCGCCAAAAGAACCCGAATCCGTAGAAGACAGTTTCGAGAATGAAATTTCAAAAAATAGAGAGACCGAGGTTCGTAAAACCCCCGAAAAACTACAAGCTGCTTAGAGATTGCATGCACAGTACTTATAATTTTTATTTTTACTGACCTTACCAACGTATTTTAGTTATATAAAACCACCTTACGTAATAATGCGATTGCAGATCCTATAACATTTACATTATTTTGTAATAAAATAATGTACAAGTGCTACTATAACAAATAAAGATTCTAGTTCTCGTTACAAACAGCAGTAATTTGTCAAGTGTGACTAACGCTTAACCTATTGCTTCTAACACTATAACTTTTAAGTGTTTCTTGCACTATTTCATTTCTTTGCACTCTTTCTCTCTAGGACTCTAGCACCACTGAAACCTTTGACCAAACCGATTCTTCCCTTCCGTCTCAAAAAGCTACCAATGAAAACTTGAGTGAAGACGGCACGGAAAGTTTGGAAAGAATGGAAGGAAATTCTGTCAAATCAGTATTACCCCAGCGCTTCTCACCCGGAACTAAATTCGAGAAACTTACAACTGGAAATTCAGAATGGAACTCGATTGAGCCTTTTGAAAGTTTTGAAGATAATTCAGTCGATTCTGTTTATCGTCCACCTGATTTAAGCAGAGATACATATGTAAATCAGATAATGGCCGACGCTGGTGCACCTATAAATCCTGATGCTGAAGTTTTCAGCAGCGCAGAATACAACGTACCCTTTTCAACTGGATCCAGACAACCTTTTGAAAAAATAACAAATCCAAGATAGTTAAACGGATAACTTGTGACAACAGACTGACATTTTTTATAAATTACCTGCCAAAGAACCTGTAACCTCCTTACATTATTTATTTATTTATTTACTCATTGTTCCAGTTTTTGTACTAATGTTGATTTTGTTGGAGATGGCTATGATTTTTTATTTTTTATGAAAGAATAAATTATTGTCTTTATTACTAAAGTTAAGTTTTATTTGTTAGTGTTGTGGCATAACAACTGACGTACCAAATGCATAGTAAGTATCGTTATAATTATAAAGATTAAAACAAAGCAGGAACGACTGGCTTATATCCACTACATGGTTATGTAGCGGCACAATAATAGGTAGCAGTAAGCTAAGAAAGATAAGCTCCTCTGTAGTCTAGTGGTAAGGGCACCCGCCCGGCAAGCGGTAAACGTGCGGTTCGATTCCCACCGGAGTTCGCTTACCTAGTTACATGAAAAATTGGAGCGTATCGCCTCCATTCATTAGTTTGGCAACTTAAGGTCTTAAACTTTGTGGAACACAGATTTTAATGTAGTTAAGGTCAAAAAATAAAACACAACCGTTATAACTAAAGAATTCTGATACGGAAAACGAACGCAAAATCCACTAAAAAATGTTGGATTAGAATCTGGTTCAGTATAAGAGGTGTTTCACTTTTATAATTTAAGTTAAATACTGTTCAAACATGACCTGCTTATATTGGGCCTAAATTTTAGTTGCTGAAATAATTTTGTATGGCAGTTAATAAAACGGTATCTACAACTTATACATATTTATATTTGGAAGCAAAATATTAAATAAAGTAAATTAAGGCTTTTTTAAAAATCTCCACATAGCACTAGCATCTTATACCGTAAGTGGCTGACATCTTCTCGGAAGTCATTTTGAAATTTAGTAACGAACGAAAAACTTATAAATTTTGATGCGATGCAGTAATAATGAGAAATCTAGTGTTTGTAAATCTAATAAACATAAATGTTACACTTTTCTAAATCTTGCAAAACTACTAACCAAGTCGTCATTTCATAAAACAGAAAATCATAAACATATTGGGTAAATTAGAACATTGTTTTTGCTTTGGGTTAATTCAACATTTCAGAAATACTTTTTCCACTTTTGTGTTATCAGTATTTAAATCGAGCTACTTTCGTGCAATAGCGGACGTCGCTTCCTTTTCTTTATTACTTAAACTCTGAATCACATGGTCTTATTTTTTTATCGTATTTAAATTTAAAATGGCTTAGTAGAACAAGAACTTATATCATAGACGGCTGGAACTAATAAAACACACGAAGTGTCACTTGCAAACTGATAAAGAAATGTACTGATAAGCAGCTTTAAATCATAATAAGAAGAATAACAGAGGATTCAAAGTATCCCTTGAAAACTTCCTTCAGTTACAGTTAATTAAGTTTTCTGGGTGACACCCTCTCAGTACGATGATTTGTGTTAAACTACACACTACACGTATACATATTATAAAAATAAATTCTTGCCTCTGTACGTTCAGTGATTATCATATACATAATTTGTAAAAAAAAAATACTTTCGGCTTTTTTGTTATACTTATATTACCAAATTAAGAACAATTTTTACAAAAAGCATTCATACATAACATTCAAACAAATAACGATCTTATATAAAACAATAATAATTTAATCTATTTAAACATATACTCCTGGAGGTTAAACGGTCTTAAAAATGACCTCTGACGAACCCGCCGAAGGAGGGTTCGCTTCGACCACCAGGTCCGCCAAAGTGCTGCCCGTATTTAGCTCCAATTTCCAGATCGCTGTTCCTACCCTTGAAAACATTTCTAGTGGCTTCAACACCTACATCAGTACCAAAACGACCATTATTTATCGCCTCTACGCCCAACTTAGTGTCTGCGGGTTTGTAGTTGTAATCGACTCTTCCGCCAACCTGCGTTGGTCTCCTGATGTTTAACAAATCCTGTTTCAATATACCAGTGGCATCCACTCTATGTTTACTATCTTCGAACACTTTCTGGCGATGCAAAACATTGAGAGTCCCGGGATCTTCAATTTTATAGGTAGTTTCTCTGAAAAGTCAGTTTTTAGTTGGTAGTTCTGGATACGGTTGTTTTAATTTACCTCTGACGATCCTCTGGTTTTGGAAGGGGGTTCGCAGGACCGGCTGGGAAGGCCAAGGACAAGGCCAGAGAGGCTAATACGAAGAGAATTGTGTTTTGCATGGTGGAGGTTGTCGAGCTTGAGTGGCTAGTACGAAGTGACTTAAGATTCGCTTTTTGTCAAGTTGTTTTATAGTAAGAAAGCTGTAATTCCCTCGGCGTTGGGAAGAAGTTCGATTGTATACGTTCGTAAAATTACACCTGTAAAAGATAAGCGTTAAGGTGTTTGTTTTCTGGGAATTCATATTTCAAGTAGAAAAGGTTCGCTGAATCAAGAAAATGGAAACGTGAAGGCATGGTCACGATGCTCTTGATTTATCGACAAATACATTAAACACGTTTACTAATTTTACGTATAATTATAATATTATTATTAATATTTATATGAGTACAACAATCATACATTTAATTTTGTAAATATGCTTTATGAAATTTGTAGAGAAATAAAAAAAATTAAATTTGGGTTGTAGAAACGGAGAACCTACTTTTTCATACCGTAAGGGTCATTAAGAAAACATGAAAGTCGCCATTTATCAGGTGGACCCTATTACAATACCGGTAAAAATATTCTGCTCAGTATAATATTTTTTCGACAAGTTGCCGATATATTAGGTATACAATTGTTCATTTGAAAATATAAATGTCATATAACAAATTTTTTGTTCCAGTAACTAATTTTAACGATATGTTTTTATCATGGAAGTTATGTATACTATTCATTTTGTCCAGTAAATAAAACTGTTGTCCTGGAAAAATAACGAAAGCTTAGTTAATAATGTTGGGTGTACAGTAGAAATCATAGACGTTCAGTAGAAATTGAACAGGTTCGTTAGAAAATTATGGTGTTCTTTATAGTTAACACCCCACACGTGATAGATAATCTCATCATTTTTTTTGGAATATGCATGTTAATCTTTATTATATAGAATCATTTATTTGTTATTATTGAAACAGTGAAGACTGTTTTTTATTATTATTTTAATGTTTATTGTTATTTTTTTAATACATGAAAGTGTATTCTATGTTTAAATGTGATCTATTTTTTTTTTCTTAGAATTTTATGTTAATTTTTACAAAGAACAATGTATATATAAAAGTATTTGTTAAAAATATTGCTTCCTAGCTATTGTTACAATTACTCGTATGTACTTATAGATTACTATTTTTTTACTAAATAGGAGTATTCATTAAAACGTGCCATCGCCAGTTAGGTCAACCAGACACTCTAGCATTTCTACTGAACATCTATTATTTTTACTAAACACAGCACAGTTAAATACTTGCACATTGTACTGGTCACGTTTTACTTTAATACTTACAATTTCTACTGAACAAACTTATTAAGGTACGTAACAAACTATTTAAGTTACCTAAAAAAAATCTATTTTATATTTATCATTTAATTACAAGCCTTTAGTTCTTCGTCATTTCTACTACTTTTCACATTCATGTAATTTATTGTCAGTTTTTTTTTCTGAAAAAAAAATTTGTTTGATATGCAAAATACATTGTGCATAATTGGTTTTCTTTCTTTATTAGATAAATATTTCCTAATATAAATTTATTTTTTCCTAACACAGTTGATATCATTTTAATTTTTTGGTAAACAAATAAACCGCTCTTATCAATTATAATATAACAAGTGATATGATTATTATCGATAATATTTCGAGTGAAACCGAGCTGCAGATTCAACGAGTGCGAAGCACGAGTTGAATGTGCTGCTTCGGTTTCACGAGCCATATCTTCGATTATTAATCATATCACGAGTTATATTCAACATGAGAATATAATAAATGAACACATTTTTTGATAATAGAATTAATTTCGTCGTTTTGAGCTTGCCCCCAACGTTGGCAAGCCATAAAAGACAAAAAAATTTATGAAATTCTAAAATTTGTCAATTTGACAGTTTTTAAATTTAGGTAGCAACAGACCACAATAAGGCAATAAAATTATTATCGCTGTGATAGACATGTAACTAAGGGCATGAACAAATTCTATTGGAAGAAATGGGATCATGTGTTACATGAATTATATTCTCAATTATAATATAACAAGTGATATGATTATTATCGATAATATTTCGAGTGAAACCGAGCTGCAGATTCAACGAGTGCGAAGCACGAGTTGAATGTGCTGCTTCGGTTTCACGAGCCATATCTTCAATTATTAATCATATCACGAGTTATATTCAACATGAGAATATAATAAATGAACACATTTTTTGATAATAGAATTGATTTCGTCGTTTTGAGCTTGCCCCCAACGTTGGCAAGCCATAAAAGACAAAAAAAATTATGAAATTCTAAAATTTGTCAATTTGACAGTTTTTAAATTTAGGTAGCAACAGACCACAATAAGGCAATAAAATTATTATCGCTGTGATAGACATGTAACTAAGGGCTTGAACAAATTCTATTGGAAGAAATGGGGTCATGTGATACATGAATTATATTCTCAGTATAATAATATGTCTCATAAATCCAGCAGAGTGAGTAAGTTTTTAACCTAATATTCGGAACTCAACACTGTGGGAATTCCCAACACCCCGAGTCCAGAAAAAGTCCCTTAGTAAGCCGTCCAATTTGTATAAAAAGCAGACGTATCCAATTATTCAACATCAATTCATTCAACTCACTCGAACCATGAACAAGCTCCTCGTTTTTGTTTTTGCCTGCATTGCTGTTTCATCGGCATACGTCGTGCAAGTTGCCGACGGTCAAGAGTACTACCTGGTCCCCCTCCATCGCCAAAGAAGGTATGTTCTATGAATTCTAAGTATTGGTAATAGCTACTTTTTAAAGCAACGAGTAGATAACATTTTTTATTAAACACGACGCTAATGTTAACATGTTTAAACACTTTACAGACAGACAACTGGAGTTGATATTTCAAAAGGAGCTGGTGGTGGTGTTAGGACTACCCTAAACCATCAGGGTACCATTTTTAACAACGGAGTTCATCGTCTGGATGGTGCGGCTTCTGCCTCTAAAGAATTCCGTCCATCTGGACCTCTGAGTGTAACAGGACAGTTGGGATACTCGCATATTCCTTCAGGTTCAGGTCTAAATGTCGGCGCTCAACATACCCACCGGGGAGGTACTGACTTGAGTGCGAGCGGAAATGCGAATTTGTGGAGTAAAGGAAATTCTCGATTGGATGCCGTTGGTACCTACAGCAGGCATTATGGAGGACCTTGGGGAACTGGAAAACCGGATTACTATGGAGGACTTCAATTTACACATAGATTTTAAAATTATTTATTTACCGCGATTAATTTATTAATAAAGAATTATTTTTTAAACATTTCCATTTTTAAATGTTCCCGTTAACCTAATTAATAATAATAATAATATATCATCACAATCAATCATGATAGGACGTCGATAGAATCGCATAAAGCTAAAAAATGTAATATCTCTCTGAGAAAAAAAATGCTATTTTAGGAAAAATAATTATTAATTCATTTCATAGTTATAACAATGATAAAAGATAAATTTTATTTGGAATATCATGAAGCATATAAAGATTCTGGAATTAATTTTTCAGTGTAAACGAATAAAACGCAATTTCATTTTACATTAAAACATAACGATTTTCATAAATCTAAAAATCTGCGGCGGTAAATTTTTATAAAGAGTTCTCGATAAACACTAAGATAGATTTTTCTTGCTTTGGTGTGTTGAGGATTTATTTTATACGTTTCGAAAAAGAATTGTGTAGTGGATTTGAAATTTTTGAGATACTGGTGTGGAAATGGAAAGCTAAACTGCATGTACGATCCAAAAATTCAGAGTAAATTTATAAATCCCTAAATATATATGATACCTCCTACAAGCTAACAATTATACGTGTAATTAAATTTTAATTATAAAATCGTGAAAGCTACAATGATGCGAATTCGAGTATTGCACTCTGCTACTTAGAAAACTGCGACTGGGCATTTAAACCCTAACCAATTACTACTAAAAATCACAAAAATAATAATTAAAACTAAGGTCCCCGTGGATATCGAAGAAATATTCCCCAGAGAATATAAACTAACCTAAAACTAAACATCTAAAATGCTCACCTAAAAAATTCGTATCGCGAACAAGAGCATTTGTTAATGTTAAAAATTCTTTCAACCTCTGCGCTGGTGCTATCCGCTCATACCAAACGCATCGGAGACCACCGAAAAAAAAAGCATAAATTAGACTTAATATGGCCAAAGGCAGAAATACATGATGAGCAGCACGAGAACGAAGATAATATCAAATAAAACTGCAAGTAGAAATCCACCGACACAATATGGAAATTCTTCCCCAAGTCCAGCTTTCTTAAGAATTCAGCAGAAATTCGGGCAGCGATTCAAGTTGGAAGATTTCAGCGGTTCACTGCAGCATCACAAGCGATGGCACCTCCGGACTTGATTGAATTTTGTTTCTGGTGCAAAAGTTTATATGACTTTTGTCTCTTATTAGTATGTAATGAAAAGGTGTTTCGTGGGGCCACGTTGTGGTGCGCTCTAAACAGTATTTTGCGATTCTACAAAGTCGAAATTCACCATGCATAGGATTTCTTCTTAGCCGTAAAACCGACGGATTTTCGCGAATTTGAGTTAGATTAACTCGTAAATGTTTAAATCTTTTTAACTTGGATCACTCAGTTCCAATGGCGTCCGGTTTTTCGTTGTATCAGCCTGAGTCATCTTGATTACTAAAGGCGGCGTCCTTCGTTGAGAATTTTATTCTTATGTTTGAGGATTGGTGGTCGATTGCGATCTGTTTGAATTGTACTATATGGAGATTTGGACATGCGTGTTGGGTAATTTTATTCTTATATTCGGGAGATTTGTTTTGCGGTCTTTTTATTGCGATTTTCTCGTGAACTAACAGAGAACTATACTTCCTAAAATTAAATGTACCGCAAGAAATGGATACAATATACAGCCAGAAAGTTAGCCTCAAAGGAACCCTCAATATTAACACACCATCGATCAAGGATATCAGATTTAGATACATGTACTATTGAAGTGACATTTGAGGAAATCAAAGATAACTCATTTTAAATGTATCTTTTTATTAAACAAAAAACGTAATTTTAAATGCATGTGTTTAAACAACTTTTATACTGCAGCACCAGATTTCAAAATTCACTCTTTCAAAAATTTTCAAAATATTACAGGAACAACTGAAAAACAGTAATTAGACTCATATAAGATTCTGTACATGAATCACTTTTTCCTTTGTTAGATGGTCATCATCAGTAAAATGCACAAATGATAAGGTTTTGGTTTTTAACCTATATCAGTTTAACAACCTATTACATCACTTCAGCCGCAACCGAATGATGCCATTAAAATCAAATATTTGATATAATATTCGCAACCCAATACCTTGGAATTCCCTGTAGCGCCTATCCTGGAAAAAATCCCTTAACAATCTGATAATTTCTTATAAAAACTAGGGCAAACAATGTTTCGGCAGTACTTCAGACGAATCACTCCAGTCATGAACCCAATTCTTGTTTTGGCTTTTGCTTGCTTTGCTGTTTCGTCAGCATACGTTATTCAAGATCGCGACGGTGAAGAATATTATCTGGCACCCCTTCATCGCCAGAGGAGGTAAGTTCTATAGGTACATTTCAAGCAAATTTTTTCGAAATTTTGAATGTGAATTCTTATACCATGAAAAACTATCAATATAGCATTAATACACCTTTATAGACAAACAACAGGATTTGACATTTCGAAGGAAGCTAATGGTGGTATTAGGACTAGCGCAAATTATCTGGGTACCATTTTTAACAACGGAGTTCATCGTCTTGTTGGCGGTGCTTCTATCTCAAAAGAGTTCCGTCCGTCAGGACCTCTGAGCGTAGCCGGACAATTGGGATACTCACATATTCCTTCACGTTCAGGTCTAAATATCGACGTTCAACGTACCTCTCGGGGTGGTACTGACTTTAGTGCGACCGGAAATGCAAACTTATGGCGCAACGGAAATTCTCGTTTGGACGCCGTTGGTAGCTATACTAGACATTATGGGGGACCCTGGGGAACTGGAAGACCGAATTACTATGGAGGACTTCAGTTTTCAACTAGATTTTAAAATTAATTATTGTGTCATAATTAATTTGTTATTAAATAAACATTTTTAATGTGTCCATATATATGCTTCTTGTTATCCGTTAAATTACGAAATTTAGCATTATAAAAAGCAAAAACTTATGGAATTTATCTTAACCAAAGAGATACATGATCTCTACTAACGTTACACAGGAAGATCCCCATACTTGCTTAATGAAGCAGCAACTTTGTCGTTCCGAATAAGCGTCTTTAAAAGCATTATTCTTTTTATTTTGGGAACATTGTTTTACTCTGCAGTCACATTAGAATCTCCTATATTTCTACATTTATAATAATGTCTACTGGCCGAGTCTACAGAAACTACAACTCCAGAAATTTAACTTTAAAATACTCTCAAAATGAAAAACATTGTACTATCGATTAAAAATATCAGATTTGGAAAAATTATTTATTAATCTTTAGAGAATTCTTCTGAGGATTCGTTTGATAATTTTGAGATTTGTACTCTAAAAAATTTCCTAAATTTCGTTATATACTGCACTGTAGCGTTAGTTTCCCTATTTCATACATTGTCAAAAGATTACAAGAACAAATGAAAAATGTTTCGTAGACTCATAAATCATTTTGTACATGAATCACTTTTTTCCTTGTTGGACGGTATTTTTTAGTAAACACAGAAATGATAAGGTTTTAATTTTTGACGTGGTTATTTTTAATATATCCATAAATAAACAGACCACAGTTATCAGTATGCAAGTTCTTACATCAATATAGCCGAGTGATGCCATTATCATTAAATATTTGACCTCATATTCACAATCCAGGACTCTGTAATTCCCTGCACGCCGAGTCCAGTAAAACCCCATCTGTCCACTTCGTATAAAAACTTTGGGCACCCAATTTTTCAGCAGTACTTCATACAAATCACTCCGGCCAGGAACATGAACACCATTCTTGTTTTTGCTTTTGCTTGCTTTGCTGCTTCTTCAGCATACATCGTTCAAGATGTCAGCGGCGAAGAATACTACTTGGTGCCTCTTCATCGCCAGAGAAGGTAAATTCTGTGATTTTTAATAGACAATCAAGAAAACAAAAACACCTTGTGCCATAAACAATTACTATTACATTGACTTCCAGGCAAGCAACAGGCGTTGATATTCGAGGGGGAGCTGGTGGTGGTGTCATGACTAGCCTAAGTCATCAGGGTACCATTTTTAACGACGGAGTTCACCGTCTTGATGGCACTGCTTCTGCTTCAAAACAATTCCACCCAACAGGACCCCTGAGTGTAACAGGACAGTTGGAATACTCACATGTTCCTTCAGGTTCAGGTCTGAATGTCGGCGCTCAACATACCCATCGAGGTGGTACCGACTTGAGTGCATCAGGAAATGCGAATATATGGAGAAGAGGCAATTCTCGTTTAGATGCCGTTGGCAACTACAACAGACACTATGGGGGACCCTGGGGAAATGGAAGACCTAATTACTATGGAGGACTTAAATTTTCACATCGATTTTAAAAATATTTATTGTACCATTATTTATTTCTGCTATTAAATATGACTTTTTAAAACTTTTGTTTTTAAATGGTTCTGCTAGTCTAAATATATGACATTCCACATAAATTATTCACAAATGTGTTTCCGTAAAGTAGAAGAACAGAAAACATTTTTTTAAAGCTCTAAAGAGAAAACTGCCTTAATTGTTATTTCCATATTTCTGAGTTCTGTGGTTTGAAAATTGTGTATGCTTAGTATTATACATTCTTGGTGACAACTAAAATCCAAGAAAAGGAAGTAATGTAACGAGAAGTATATCCCCACATAAGTGAACTCATTTGTAAATAAATTCTAATTAAAAAGACTAGAGTCAATGAACTTAAGCAAAAAATAAAAAAATGTGCACGGAACTGAAAGCGTTTGTAAAATATAGAACAACTCGATAAAAAAATTAAGATTCAGTTTGATAAAAGTACTTGGCAGTTTTATTACACGAAAACTATTTTATAAAAACGGAACAATACGAGTGCATCACAAAATTTTTGTAGTACAAAAAAAATCAGTATTTTTTTTTTTAAGCTATTGTGGTTGAAACAGTTTTTAATTCTATAAGTATATCTGAAATAACACTTTTTCATCCGAACGTGAAATAGCATTACACTCAAAAATTTTGATACGCCGACCCAGTATGGGTTTTCTAGTATGTACGGTGATGATGACGCATCGTGGATGACGGCGGCCGGGCGGGGTTCGCTAAAGGAAAGCCTGGAAGCGGAAGTCGCGATGGACAATCGAGAAAGACCTCGACTGCGGAACTTCTAGAAGGAAAGTATGGCTTTAAATAGAGGCCGTCTTCGGAAACGATGATTATTCAGCCAGTTCAGTCAAGACAGAGTGCAACTAAGTTGCGCCGGAATTATTTTGTACTTAATCGCTGTGTAATTCGTCGTGTACATTTGAGTTACTAAAAAATAAATGGTTGAGTTTTACCCACGCCGATTTTAGATACCGGTCTATCGTAACAATATCATAACTTAAATACTGAGAACTTATTGAATTTATACACACCAAAGAAGAGCTACATGACCTTTACTAAAGTTACACTGGGGTTTTGAATACTTGCTTAATGACGCAGTAAGTTTCTCGTTATGAATAAGCAGAATCTCTAGAACTCTTGTTTCCAAAACTTCTGTTAAAACCATTATTCTTGTTATTTTGGGAATATTCTTTTAGTCTACTGTCACATTAGAATCTCTTATATTTCCAGATTTATAGTAATATCTATTGGCTAACTATACAGAAACTACAACTCCAGAAATTTAACTTTAAAAAGACACTTAATATTAAATACACTGTACTATCGAATAAAAATATCAGGTTTGGATCAATAACATTATTTAATCACTTTTAGAGAACTCCTTCGACGACTCATTTTATAATTTTGAGATTCGTACTCTAAAAGAATTGCTAATGAAACTTGTTTCATAAACTGCCAAAAGATTAAAAGAACAAATGAAAGATATTTTATAGACTTGTAAATCATTTTGTACATGAATCACTTTTTTTCCTTGTTAGACGGTAATTTTTTAGTAAACACAGAAATGATAAGGTTTTAATTTTTGACGTGGTTATTTTCAAGATATCCATAAATAAACAACACTGTTATCAGTATACCGAGCTCTTACATCAGTCCAGCCGAGTGATGCCACTATCATTAAATATTTGACCTCATATTCGCAACCCAGGACTCTGTAATTCCCTGTATGCTGAATCCAGTAAAACCCCTTAATCATCTATTCACTCCTTATAAAACTTCAGGCATCCAATTTTTCGGCAGTACTTCATACGATCATCACTCCAGCTAGGAATATGAACACGATTCTTGTTTTTGCTTTTGCTTGCTTTGCTGCTTCGTCAGCATACAACGTTCAAGATGCCAGGGGACAAGAATACTACTTGGTGCCTCTACATCGCCAGAGAAGGTAAATTTTATGATTTTTTTTTCATCGACAATCAAGAAAACGAAACCCCTTTGTACCATAAACAATTACCATTACATTGACTTACAGGCAAGCAACAGGCGTTGATATTCGAGGGGGAGCTGGTGGTGGTGTCAGGACTAGCCTAAATCATCAGGGTACCATTTTTAACAACGGAGTTCATCGTCTTGATGGGGCTGCTTCTGCTTCAAAACAATTCCATCCATCAGGACCCCTGAGTGTAACAGGACAGTTGGGATACTCACATGTTCCTTCAGGTTCAGGTCTGAATGTCGGCGCTCAACATACCCACCGGGGTGGTACCGACTTGAGTGCATCAGGAAATGCAAATATATGGAGAAGAGGGAATTCTCGTTTGGATGCCGTTGGCAACTACAACAGACACTATGGGGGACCCTGGGGAACTGGAAGACCTAATTACTATGGAGGACTTAAATTTTCACATCGATTTTAAAAATATTTATTGTGCCATAATTTATTACTCCTATTAAATATGATTTTTGAAGACTTGTGTTTTTAAATAATTCTTGCTAATTTTTAAAGATTTTTTTAAAGCTCTAAAGACAAAACTTTCTTAACTATTGCTTGCATTTTCTGTTTTACGGTGGTTTAAAATGTTTGAAAACTGTGTATGCTTAGTACTATACATTCTTGGTGACAAGTAAAACCCAAGAAGAGGAAATAATGTAACGAGAAGTGTATCCCAACATGAGTGAACTCATTTGTTAATAAATTCTCATTAAAAAGACTGAAGTCAGTGAACTTATTCAAAAAATAAAAAATTGTATACGGAACTGAAAGCGTTCGTAAAATATAGAACAACTCGATAAAAAAAATTAAGATTCAGTTTGATAAAAATACTCGACAGTTTTATTACACAAAAAATATTTTTATAAAAACGGAAAAATACGAATGCATTACAAAAATGTTGTGGCACATCTTTGACTGCCTCTTGCAAGTTAACTGAAACAGAATTAGACTCGAAAATTTTAATACGTCTTCGATATAAAAATTTATAATGTGAAAACTGGAGAGTAAAAATTATCTTCCATTTAAATTTATAACTGATTTATGTTCGAATAAATAATAAATTCCATATATGTAGTAGCTTATAAAAGATCTGCCTTAACTGAAAAAATATACTCCTGTATAAAATATATATTTCTGTCATACCTTGCGTATTGAAATGTATCTTTAAAAATGGGTACAGGGATTTTTACGGTATATTTTAACGTCGTTTTAACCGATAACAACAGTTTTTATGGTAATGCATTCCCCAGTCGTGACCAAAAGTTGTGTTGCGGAATTCCCACAAATGTTCCTGAAATCGCTTTCATATGACTGTAGAACTCTTTCGCTCTGTAATTTTCCGCAGTACAAAAGAGCAGGGATTATCATCAGTTTATGCGCTGCTGTGTTCAACCCAGTGTTTAATCAATGGTTATTCCACTGCATCAACACAACGAATTACAAGTAGTGTTTACTACGAAACTATTACTTGGCAATGACCTCGACCGTATCTTTTATTAAAGTACACTTCCAAAACACATAGATACAACAAACTCCATTAAGGAATAATAATAAATTAGGAAAAGAATTTTTAACGTAGGTGAATGACAGTTTAGTTTCTAGGTATTAACTAGAACCTCCTTTTTTTAATAAATCATACGTTTAAATTAACTGTTTTGTCTTATGACCACTTATATGTCATTTGTCATAAAATTAGACATTAATAACAACAGCTCTCAAAACAAAGTAATTGTAATACTTAAGTAAATTCTAAATAGATCTACTGGTACATCTAAATTAGGCACTTGCACACACTGTGTATATAAAATGAACCACAATTTCTAGAATAGGACAAAAATATAAATTATTTATATAGTATTATTTTTTAACTTAATATAGTACTGACTTCAATTTAACAAGGCATAAAATTATGTATAAATCGATTTTCATTTTCAACTGAAAAAATATTGAATAATTTTTTTTGTGGTTTCTAAGATAAAAACGAAAAAAATCACATACGGTACGGTCTAAAATTGAAGGCACAGATGGCAACTAACAGAAAGACAGGAGTGTCCGGACTATTGTAAGTTCCACTAGGTGAGTATTTCTCATACATTTCATGATATTTCCTCGTACACCGTTTAAATTGTACACTATGATATTCACACGCAGCGTGTTTTAGAAGAACCTGTGTACGTTCTTTGGCTACATTATTAGCTTTTGCATAAATATGTCAACAATGTAGTCAGATTTGCGTCAGTGCTATTGCCCTCACTGTCATACCTCAGAACGTCATAAACCACGGCGATTGAATGAATCTTCACTCCGTCTCCTTTCAGTTTTCATTCCCGTTATTCAATGCCAAGTAGTAACTTACTTGTAGCTGTTTCAAATCCTCCAAAATTTCAAACCTTCAACAAGCGTAATCATTGAACTGACAAGCTTTTCAGACAAACTGATGAAATAATTTAGAAAACATTTTATACAAAAGGAAAATAAGGTCAAATTTTACAAAGAGCACTTCTCGATTTCGCACAAACTGTTTGCACAGAACTCTTCTACAGGACCCCCTGATTACGTTCCTTACCTTCAAAAGTTGTGGAAATGCTTCCTTGTGTCAGAAAAAAATATTTAGTGTTCGCCCTATGGTTTGCACCCTATTAGTTGCGCCGCATGTAGGCAACCAACGACACACACAGTTGAACTCGCACGAATTCCAATAACTAAATGATCCACGGAGCAAGAAGTGCCACGTTTAGGGGCATGTTTGTAATGGGGTGCAGGGCGCGAAGCGCCCTGCCTCCACTAAAAACCCGATGTTACACCTACCCATGTTGTTGACTATAAAAGTTAGGTTATGTTCGAAACGACTCTCCATTGAAGAGTGTGCAAATGGGAAATTTAATAATTTTTTTGTGGCAAAAGTAAGCATTTCCACAACATTTGAAGGTGAGGAACGTGATCAGGGGGTCCTGTAGAAGAGTTCTGTGCAAACAGTTTGTACGAAATCGAGAAGTGCTCTTTGTAAAATTTTACCGAAAATAATAATAAGCACTTTTAGTGTTTACTGTTACGGGACCGGGTCGTCGCGACCTCGCGGTTCCAGCGGGGAAGCGTCCGGTCTTTACCCGCGTCGGTACGCCGACTTTGTTCCAGGGTGTCGGAGTGCCCTTGGGTGATGGGGTTCTGAAAAGAACCGGTGTGGGTGCTAGGGGTGGGGAGTATTTGACGGAACAGGTATTTCGGAACTGTTACCAATGTGGAACAGGAACAAGTTGTTACCGAAGATTCAAAATAACAGTTATTCGGGATAAATTTGTTCCTTTAAAATAAAAGTCCGCAGAACTGGTTTTATAAGTGAAACTAGCGACTTGCGATGTTGGAACCGAAACAAGAACAGATTAATACAGAATAATAACGTTTATACGGGTTGGAAATTAAATCAGCTGCGAAGCGAAACGTAACGATGGGTGCCGAAATATCACGAACGGGAACAAATGAATATCGTTTTTGGCGATTTTGTGAAATCATTAAATTGGAACAGTTAATTAATATTTTTATTATAAAGTATTAGGAGTATAATATAAAAATTTATAAATGAACACAAACTGCAAATTATAAATAAAAAGTTTATACATATTTGAATAAAATAAACATATAATATAATAATACAATAAATAATAATACATATAAGCAGAAAGGTAAAAAATAGAGAATTATTTGGAATAAAGAGTTTTATTTAATAAAGGCACTGTTGTATTTGGATGCAGTGATACAATAATTTATATTTTCAAGATTTAATATATTTTTTAATTTTTTTTTTTTCAATAAAATAGTAAACTAAGAAATTAGATAACAGCAACAAGAAACAACATATAGGAACGTCAATTTTCTTTTACAGGCTACGTTGGTTATAAATAAAAATTATTAAATCTTTATATTTAATCAAAAAAAATCTTAAGTAACAATTTCAGATTCCGAAGGCAAAATCCGAAGACCAAAATCGTAACGTAACGCTAACGAGTACGTAAAGAACAAATAACAGTGTTATCTGTAGCAGAGCCGCATAGTAGGTATACGGGATAAAAGTGTTCTTGTTAGGGAACGCAATAACAAATTGTTCCAGAATCACTGTTATTTGGAACTGTTCCTAAAATGGAACAGTAATAAATTGTTCCTGTTCCTCAAAAAAGTAACAGTTCCCCATCCCTAGTGGGTGCTTTGTTTGCTACGGCAAAAAACTGAGCACGGGGTTTTTCGTGAATAAAAGCCTCGATGAAAGAAGGTACGGTTTATTGGGGTTGTCTGGCCGTTTAGCCGCCGGGGCGAGCACTGACGACAACAGACTTCCTTGAAACCCACGACTCAACTGCCTATTGCTCTAATTTTACGTATCTTTATATGCGGCTGCTGTCGCAGCCGCGCTCCGATTAGCGGACCGTAGTGCCGCGGATCTCGGACCGCGGTGCCGCGGATCTCGGACCGCGGTGCCGCGGATCTCGGACATGCTTAAATATTATTTGAATAAAACAACTTATCTAATTCCTTAACCTAATGATCGCACTAATCAGGCCTCCAAATGTTGGCCCGGTAACATTACTATACTTACAAGTGTGTTCCACACACCTTTGTTCTACACGTTTAAAATATGATTAAGTAGTGTGTACACAGAATAATTGTGTTTGTGAAGTTTCTTTTAAAAACAGCTTTACATATCTAATGCCATCGATTGGATTATGCATTCACATAAAGGCATAATATCGTGCTTGTTTAAATTTGCTTAGCGCACAATAATAACCCTTCGAGTGTCATTTTTGTTGCCTGATCAATTTTTGTCGTAATAATAGATAAATTAAAAAACTATTGATCTATCTGCAAACACTAAATTATACATTACCCTAATTGAGTTTGTCTGTTGATAGCAAGTACGTGTAGTTAGTAAGGTTTATTCGAGAGGTTATTGGAAAATCATTAATAAGAATACAAAGTTAAATAAAATAAAATGCATTATTTTAATCATTCTAAACGCGATATTCGATCCTTATCTATTTTATATAAAATATGCACCCTTTTAGCTGTTATACCTTGTGATTCCTTCAAAAACACAAACGTAACAAGTACAGCTTGGAAAAAAATAAAAGGATTGTTACTGATAGGTGGAATATCAATAGGTACAGCTTATTCTATGTACTTTCGCCACATTTTTTATAAAAATTTATACACACTGACACATTTGGTGCTTGATTACATAGACGAATTTTTTGTGGTTATGATAGCCTTTACAGTTATATTCAACTCATGTTTTTGTAGCAAAGATTGCTGGATTAAGCTAAATAACAATTTGCAGCATATTGACGAAGTATTAAAGAATAAAGACAAAAAAGAACAGAATTTATTGCGCAACATTTCGATTCAGTTTACAGGATACTTTCTCGTGTACGTTTTTAATGTTCTATTTTTAATGTACATATGGATGGAAAAAATGGGTGTAGAAAGCCTTCAAAGCCACGCATTGCACCAATTCTGCTACGTCTACGATCTTCTGTTACACTTTCTGATTTTTACAATATGTTCAGCATTGCAGTGTAGATACGATGATTTAAATGACTTATTGGAAAGTGAAGCCAATGAATATTCGGAGAACAACATCATGACTTCTCTCCGAAAAATCGAAAATGTATCACAGATACTTAGTGAAACTGTAAACTTGTTTAATGAAGTCTTTGGTACACCGTTGATTTTTATTACAGGCAAAAGTATCACACAGCTGTTAACGTGTCTAAATTTTCTCACCAACAATTTAAAAATTGACGATGTGGAGTTTAAACACAGACTTTTTGTTGCCAATGTTACACTAGTAATTTATACCTTGGTAACTTCGGTGATACGATTTTGTGTATTTATTACTGTAATTTTATTTTAGGTGTCTGTTAGCTACATAATGATATCTGCTGATAGAGCGACAGCTTCAAGCACAAAAACCACTTCTCTGTGTTACAAATTTCAAGAACAATTTGTAACAAAATCAGAAGCGCGTTTAGAACTTTTCAAATTAGCACAACAAACTACTGCCAGTACAGCAGTTATAACAGCTGCTAATTTTTTTCAGATTAACAAAGCAACGCTTTTTGGATTATTTGGAACAACTACAACTTACTTCATCGTTATTTTACAATTCAATCAAAGCTTATCAGGAAATTAAACAAATACGTGTATTAGCCGATAGGTGTTCACTATTTTCTGTGTGATTCACACGATCATTTTTATACATTGCTTGCAATTGTTCGACAAAATAAACACTACGAATTCAAAAATAAGCTATTGTTAACTTGTTAAGTGTAAATCCTGATGTTTGGCATTTATTAAACAACAACAAATCTTTCTTTTTATTTTCTATTAATAAACTCTCCCCAAAACAGAAATATCAAACTATCATAATATGATTATGATTGACTTAGTTTCTAAAAGCAGTTTGCAAAGTAGCGTATGATTTAGTCTTCATTCGTAATTCGTTAAATTACCATTAAATTGCAAAATTATTATAAAATATGTAGTGATCGTCCCAAACACACTAAACAGTGTGTTCTTACTAATTTCAAAAAAGTTTGCTGCCGTAATTTTGGTAACATTTGCTTTCAAATGACGTGCCAAGTTATATAATTCGCTTCTGAGTTTGTAGTCATCCGTGAAATTTTCGTGCAGTTTATAACACAAGAAAATTGTTTTCTCACTTTTGGAAATTACATCATCACATGACATCATGACCATGGTTATGGCTATCTACAAATAAATTTATTGTTACTACTAAAATATTTTTATTTTGTTATTACCAGCGTGTACACTCCCAGAAGCGTGTTTGCAACGAAGAGTTCTTGCTTGAAGGTCCCATCAAATTTCATCACACCCCCGATCATGTAATTGAGAGATATCAAAATTTGTGTAACATCTTTGCCGATCATGCATATTAACAACCATCCAAAAATTTCGTTAAAATTTTCTACCGTTTCCGCCAAAATTCGGGAAGTAACTGTTATCCTCCTTATTACTGACAAGTGGTTTTGAAATATATTTCCCTTATTTATAAACATGCTAGGGTGAAACAGTTTATTCAGATTTTCGTATCTGTGTGCCAAAGCAGAAGCTAAGACAAACACCAAAAAGTGCAATAACCCGTCATACAAAGAATATATTTCATGAAATCCATAAGTAGACCACAATACTGAAAAGATTTTTTTATACCATATGTGCATCATGTACACTATACCAGATAAAAGTACTACCAAATACAAAAGAAAGTGAATATAAATGTTTCTCAAGACGTTGTATTCTTTCTTGCCTCTGCTAATGAATATTTTATCGATGCCTTGAAAATTGTTCATAAGTTGTAACCACAGTTTTTTATTGTCAAATAGTGCAATTACAGTCATGCTAACAAAGAAAAATTCGCAAGCGACGTCAAGAATGTAATTAGTGAGGTAAAAAATTTCGTCGAAATATTGGTAGCGGTTGTATAGGGAGTAGATAGTTCCAATGATTATAAAGAAAATCATTGATACACTCTGATACTTGTTTAACAGTGGATGTGTAAGTGCACCCTTTTCGAAATTATAGTATGGAGTAATACCCATTATGCTGGCGAGATGATAAATAATTTTTGTGAAACGAATATCTCCTTTAGAAAGTGCCAAACAATCCATTTTAGTGTATTATGTCACGTAAACAGACTCAGTTAAGTCGGAACTTAGAATACTTATCGTGTTTCGAACATATTACCAACACGAGGATAACAATCAGAAATAAAATGGTTACACTATTCTTGAACAATCAATTAAATTCTCTGAAAAAAGTTTTAATGAAGACGAATGTGAATTATATGTGTGGGAGTATAATTAGGAGTCAAACTAGAATTAAGTTGATTGAGTGATAATTGCAGACATATAGTGGAACCTCAATGATTCGAACGTCAGTAAGTTCGAAATCATTGAAACCTTCTACTAAGAAGGATAAGTTGAAATTCGGTAACTTTAGGTAATTTGGGTTATTTTAATAGCTATAGGTCTTTTTGAATCAAATTTTCAAAAAGGGGTGTTTTACCATAAACAAGTGTAATCTGTAACAAATTTGGTAAAACTTCTTTAGGCAAAATAAAAAGTTTCTATGCCTAGCGGTAATGAGTCATAATTTTGAATATAGAATATTAGATGCTTTAAACAGCTTATTTTCCGTAGATTAACGTAGGTAAATAATAAGCATGCATGGCAGCAATAATTGTTGTATAGCTAATTTTTCAGGAAAATGAAGTTTTTTTTAATATTCGTTCACCAAACACAATAAATATGCAGGGAAAATTATCAAGCATCAATATAATTTATTATTCATGGCGCATATATTGTGTCTCTTTTATGTAATAGTCTGATGAAATGATGAAAAGACAAGTGAGCTAAAATTCTTGTGGCGCATTTGATTTGAAATTCAAATGTATGACTTTGCTTCAGTTTATATTAAAATTTATTACATTCTTAGTTTCCTAAAACTCTATAATTCTAGTAACAACTTGAACTCTCGACAAAATGATTTTTTTTTAACAGTGTCGACTTATCGAGGTCCGATTGTATTTACCATAAATTACCTAGTGGCATCAAACAGAGTTAAATATAACTGATAGAAAGCCGATAATACAAGAAAAGATAAGCAAACACAATTGCCTACTGACCTAATTAATCGTAGTCCCTGACCTTATATTTTTAAGTCATTATTGTATAGCATATTGTTACGTTGGGGTGGACACAACTCAACAATTTATTTCTCCATAACTCAAATTTACACGACTACCTATTACAGCGATCATGTACAGAATATAACTCCGTGGTGCAACTTGAATTAGTTCTCTGACTCGGACTCGCTAACTGAATAATCTCGTTCCCGAACGTGGCCTCGATTTAAATTCATATCTCCCCTTATAGATGTTTCACAATCGAGCTTTTTCTGGAATACCCATCGCGACTGCTGCTTCCAGGTTTTTGTTTAGCGAACGCCGCCCGGCCGCCATCACCGACGATGAGTCACTCATCATCGTCGTACATATTAGAACCCACAGGCGTCGTACCGGGGCGGCGTATGGGTTTCTTTCGTAACACTGCCCTCTCCTTAGTTCGGATCGCCCCAATCAGAAATGTCAACGGTGTCACTGTTGCACTTTATGAGGCGGTCTAAATGAACAATCTTCATTTTGGAATAGATTTGACTTGAAGTTTCTGCCTTGGTCCGAATGTAATTGTTGCAACCGTCGTGACTTCTTGGTTCGGTTTGGCATAAGCTTTGGCCATTTGCTGAAGTAATCACTGACGACCATCATGTACTTATTCCAGTCTTCGGTCACCGGGAGAGGACCTGCTATCTTTGCTGCAATTCTTTCGAACAGCGAACCGATGTTGTATTGTTGCATCGGCCCTCTCGCTCTAGTTCTCGGTTCTTTGACTTTGACAAGTTGTACATTTCTTACACCAGCTCTCGACGTCTTCTCGGCAACGGATCCAGTAAAATCTGAAGATGAAGAGATTTGAAAAGACAGTAAGAACGCAGCAACCCCTGGTTCATGTTGTTGACGTCGGCCACCTACCTATGATGGTCAGACACCTTGGTCATCGTACAAAAAACAGTTTGAAGCGGTAGCCACGGCAAATCTCTGGGAAGAAGAGCAAAAAGCGACAACCTTGGTAATAGCTTTGCGCAGTGCAACGTTGGAAATACTTCAAACTTTGTCCGAAGAAGATATAAACAAATACGGTAAAACATCGGGCTGTTGTTGCTAACATTTTGGGAATGGATTTGATTAGCCGCCTTGGATTGACGATCGATCCATTGGACAATGTCTTACGGCTTGGCAATGAAGAATGTATCTTGAATCAGCGCAGTATTGAATCGAAGCCTGTAAGGCTGACGGCGTGCCAGAATGTGAAAGTCAAAGGGAATGCAGAAACGATTGTTCGAGTTAGAGCAGAAATCGAACTCGGATTTGCCATCGGCATTATTCAACAACCGCACACCTCTAAGAAGAATCTCATGATTGCTAGTGCTTTAATCAATATCGATAATGGCACATCTATACTCGTCGCAAATATTTTTCCCAAACCCATGTACCTACATCAAGACTGGGGCGGTTCTTACGAACCAGTTACGAAGATAGTTCATCATAACGACGGTCTTTCTGATAACACTGATGAAGAAAAAAACATCAACTTAGAAATTCCTGCCCTAGAGCTTGGTCATCTAACCGATAATAAACGAGATGTAGCAGGAGAGTTTCTGCAGAAACATAGTGGAATGTTTGCATCTGGAGAGTCCTCTGGGAGCACAAACATAGTGCTACGTCGGATAAACACAAGAAGAGGCCGAGAAACTTGTACGGAAAATGCTGGATGATGGCGTTATAGAGGAATCAAACAGTCCGTGGTCTTCGCCTGTTGTGCTAGTCACCAAAAAAGATGGGTCGACGAGATTCTGCGTAGACTACAGGAAACTAAACGATGTAACCAAGAAGGACAGTTACCCGCTTCCACGAATTGATGACGCACTAACAACATTATCAGGATCCGCCTGGTTTTCCACGTTAGACCTAAAAAGCTGCTAGTGACAAGTTGATATTCATCCAGAAGATAAGGAAAAGACTGCTTTTTCTGTCGGCAGCGGCCTGTATCAATTTACCGTAATGTCTTTTGGACTAAGTAACGCCCCGGCTACTTTTGAGAGGCTGATGGAGATGATACTACGACGGCTAACATGGAAAACATGTTTGGTTTATTTAGACGACATCATGATAATGGGAAAGACATTTTAGGAGCACTTGACCAACCTAGAATAAATATTTAGTCGAATGAAGGAGGCAAATTTGAAGCTGAATCCTAAGAAATGCCTCCTCTTCCAAAAAGAAGTAGAATTTCTGTGGCATATTTATTTCGGCAAATGGGATCAAGACTACGAAAGCGAAGATCAGTGCAATTCGCGATTGGCCAAGATCAAGAGATAAACACGAAGTCCAGAGTTTCTTGGGATTGTGCACGTACTACAGAAGGTTTGTCAAAGGGTTTGCTGACATTGCTGCTCCTCTGCACAGGCTGACGGATCTAAAGTCTCAGTTTAATTGAACTGCTGAATGTGAGGTAGCCTTCGAAAGACTGAAAAATGCACTATGCTCTAGTTCTG